CCAATTACATTGCGCAAGTTACGTTAATGAATTATGTTATCCACTTCTTAATTAGCGGCGTAAGAATTTTAATTGCTTTGTCGAAAAGGAAACTGCCTCCAAATGCCGCAAAGCGGGACGTTACGCAGCTTCTTTCCAGTAATTTTTCCAGAAAATACGCGCACACGCCGAGCACGTGCGAGAGCCGATGAAAAATACGAACGAGAAAAGGGAAGATAACGAGCCATTCGTCGGCCATCCGTTCGACGTTCGCATTCCGACTGGAGATATATCGAGAATTAATTTTACGGCCTGTTCGCGTTCGTTTGTACCGCGACGTGTCTGGGTCGCGTATTTATTGTCTTCTTTTTCCATCAGCGCGCGCGTGCGGCGCATACCTATGTACAAAGTGTTTCCGCCGCATCGCTGATTTGCGTTACGAGAGTTTCTAATCAAATTACGCGTAAGTGGCACGCAGAGAGAACTGTTTGAGCTTTTAACTTTCTGATGTATCAATATTTACATTTGGTTTCACTTCTAACGGAGACAGTTGGAAGAAAACGAAACGAAGTGACTCGTAAATCGGACGGCAGTGTCGGCCTGATCGAGTCGATAAATTGCTACGACGGTCGTCGTATGCCGGAGGGTTTCACCAATGAAAGGGAGTCCCCTCCGAAACCTTGCAATTCCGCATTTGCTTTTTACGTACCGACGACACATCGTAACCGCTTCGTTATCCGTCGAATTAGTTATTCTATCCTCGTCAATATTGAATTTGCTCCTATTATAGTAGAGATCAAAATGAACGAAGCTTAGCTCAGGTCTTAGAGAAAATGAAACAGTCATTAGTCTTTTACGAACTCTTTTCAAGCATCGAACTGGATACTTATCAGTGGTCGGATATTCTTATCTATAAATGTCCTTATATATATTTATCAGTTGATGACACAATAATGCTTGAGGTCTCAGCCAATCTACACAGCCACAAAGGATGTGATGAGTGATGAGGAAAACGAGGAAAAATTCTAACCGAAATTAGGAAGACAACGCATCTGTCCTGTAATACTTTATTTTTTTTTTTTAATTATTGCCTAAATTTAAGAAGAAAAACTTATTTGAGAATATTGTGTAAATTTTTTATATACAAAAATAAATCGAGGATAATAATTTGTCAGTCAGTTAATTTGTTCGTGACACATTTATGTATTGTATGTAATACTTATATAATCAAGTAAGAAAAACTATTCTAGATCTAAATTATCAACGGTAGATAGGTTATTTGTGAGGTAAAAGTCCAACGTGCGGTCGGTGCATTTGGTTATGAATCGAATTAAGGGAATAATGTCACCGCTTTCCTCAGCTCGTTCTAGGCAGTCGTAGTAGAGAGAACGATCGCCATATTGAATTATTGTTGGGGGAAAGCCATGCTGTGCCAGAACAAGGTTCATAAACAACCTCGATATCTTCCCGTTGCCGTCGACGAAGGGATGCACGAAAACCAGTGAGAAGTGGGCAATTGCTGCCAGGACGACCGGATGCAGGTTTGAATGATGCTGATTCATCCAATGGCACCATTTGACCATGAGTTTGGGCACGGCTTTCCAAGACGGGGGAACGTGAGAGCCAACGAAGACTTGCACCTTCCGGTACTTTCCAGCGCTTGCAGGATCAATCGCTTTGAAGAGATTCCAGTGCACTCGCCAAAGGTCGTACTCCTCGAAACGACCGGTCAGAGGGAGTTGGTTAATGGCTGCGTCCAGTCCGATGATTTCGTGGCATTCGATTGGCGGTTTCCCGGCAATCGGCTGCCCAGATTTCAAAATTTCGTGGATTTGTGTAGGCGAGCAAGTATTTCCCTCGATAGTTGCAGAATGGTGAATACAGAGGACATGGCCTTGCCATCTTATATCTTCTTCCATCAGCCAGTCTCTTAGATCTATACATTTCTCGTCCATACGAGCGAACATCGCGTTGTCTTTTTCGGAAAACTCGAGTTCTGCAGCCAAGAACTTCTCAAAGAGTTTGCAGCACTTTTTGGTGTTGTTTTTTGGCACATTTCGAATCACGTAGGTCTCGTCTAGACCTGAAAAAAATTATTAACATTCGTTTAACCCATTCAGCGAGCACTCGTTTTTAACAGCTGATATACCAAGGATACGATTGACTGATATGTATCAATGATATTTTGTTATAAATATCAAGATATTAATCATGTTATTGATTTTGAAAATTAACTTCACCATGTGCATAAAACTCCTCCACTTTTCTCGAATTTCAGATCCAATATTTAGGGTAAATTAGTGTGCCTGGTCTCGGAATTTGGGTGCCTCAATTTACGAAATTATTTGGAAATTAAAGAGTGGAGGAGCTAACTTCATGCACGTACTTAACCTCTGACTCTGAAACTTCTGACTTCTGATATATTAAAGCGAATATTTGAGGTTTGCATTTTTTACATGCAAGGATGTTATATACACTCACATTCACCGGATTCTGACTCGTATTCACTGCTCTCTTCATCGTACAAGTCTTGCGCAGATTGAGCGAGAGCATCATGGCACGACTCTTCCTGCGACAACTGTTTCTGCAACGTGTTCCTTTCTTTCATGCCCGTCGACATTTTTTAATCTTAAGTGAACAAGACGAAAAATTTCCGGTATTACAAAAAATAGCATAAATATAGTACATCGCAACTATATCGCTCTTATTCCCTTCTTTCGCGTGTGCCAGAAAAAAGGCACAGACATATTTTCACTTCTCAACGCAATCTAGATACATATATTATGTCTATACTCGCAGATCATCTATACAAGAAATGTAAACACCGTGTATTTTGATGACAACACAAGAAGCACCATCTGCTTTTCTGACAATACACGTGGAAAGGCGGCAATTTCAAATGCCACTTGTTACTCCAATTCTTCTTCTGTACATTAATTGTGTAACACTGTTTGATGTGTGATCTTGGGATATAGAGTATGAAATGAGTAGTTCTTTTTTTGTTATTTTTTACAAAGAGACCGGAAGTGTTATTTTGATCTTTACGTATTATTGAAACATCCCATTGGTAATTCGCTTCAACGCGCGCGCTCGCTCTTGTACCCTCCGTAATCGCCAAATCCGCTTAATTTCATCAGAATCGCTGGATCGAACCAACCGGAAACCGCGCATCTCCTAAAAGCATCGTTAATCCTCCACGATTTGCGCATACTAGAAACTCTCCAATAATCGTTTGCGATTGCGATATTATTTTAGCGGCGACTTGAATTTGATGAATACATCAAAGAACGCGCAAGAGCACGATCGATCAGCGTAACGAAATAAAGCGAAACTAACAAAATAAAGGAAACAAACTAGTGTAGTAAAAGAGAGAGAGAGAGTCTCATGTTTTTTTATCAGTTTACCCTTTTTGACGTACATAATACGGGGACAGGATATAGAGTCGGTCCGATCTCGGCGCCGGCGTCGCCGGCATACAGCATGGCCGACGATTGTGATCTTCTCAAGAAGAAATTGCTCGCTATCGTAATCCTCCTCGCACAACTCTGATAAGTTTTATAATTAACACAAAACTCATAAAGTTGCTTAAAGAAGAGAACGAGAAAGTTTCCGCCACGGTATATAGCGATAATATTTAGCAAAACCCCAACGTCGATTAGTGTCGGTAACGTGTCTCGGACGCTGACGCTGCTGTCTAATAAACCAGACGACATTCACGATAATCTAATGTCCAACGTTGGCCGAATAACTCTGAAGTTGCTCTCTCGCTCACTCGCTCGCCAATTCCCCGTCCCTCAATATCAGCCGAAACTTCGGCCATTACTTCCCGGATTTGCGTCACGAAATACAAACATTAAACGTAAAGTAGCGCTCGTCAGTGCGCTACGTCACCCGCCTGACAATGAATATTACAAACGCACGTTAGGGTTTATACGTGGTAAAAATAAAAGCGAACTCGCGGATGTGTCGATATAAAATGTAGAACGCGAAAAGAATTAACCAAGAGATTGCATCGTAAAAATGTAATTTGCCGAGATACATTCGGCTGCATTTGCATCCGGCCAAACTAAAACGCCGTATGTAACAAAGTATCCAGTAGTTTTTTATACAAATACAAAGAGTACCTGACGAGTACGACCAGACGCGAGAGTCGAGTCTGAAATATTTAAAGTAAACATTCGCCCGCGCGCGAAGAAATGACTTTTCGTTCAACGCGCAAGAATTTCTTAAAGTTCAGCGGAAGATCTATTTCTATTTTGTTGACATTTCTTCATAAATAACCGCCGATGTCTATCTTAGAAGTCAGTCGAGCGCGACCCACGCAATATATTTCTAGCGAGGCACCGCCGGATATTTCAGAAGATCTGTCAAGCAGATACTTCTGTTCCCATTGCTCGCAAGCGTCGCGAAGTTGAACATTTAATCGAGTGCCAGCGAGGTAACGTGCAGGTACGTGCTGATCTGAGCCATTTCGTCAAAAATAGTTGTCGCTTCGCTGATTTGCAAATAAATAATGCGAGGAAATGCGAATTATTCGTTTCTCTCTTTTTTCTTCTTTTTAAGTAAAGGCCCGGCAATGACCGGCAATTATGCAATCGTGTTCGCGAGGAATGGCAAAATATTGTCCGTCTCATAAATATGATAATTGACTCACTTAAGTGAGTCTTGAAGTCTTGAAGTCTAGGATACCTTGCTGCAATTGTACGCAATTTAACGTATCAGAATAAATAATGGAATATACACGTAAGTGCATAAGAAAATGCACAAGCGCGCGAGCGAAATATTTAGATAACTGAATAGTTATTGCGATTCCCGTTTCTCTTCCGCACGTATGTACTGTCTGTTGCTTCGCCATATAAATACTTGTATTTGTATGTGTAAATTTGTCCACCGTTTATTATAATATTTTTAAACACACGTTTCAAAAGATCCATACCAAAAAGCAAGAGCTCAAATTCATCTATTCACCTAATGACTAATGCTGATAAATAACGAATAGCGTAACAAAATTCGCGTTTCAGGTAACTTGGATCAGACGGAAAGACAGACAACTGCTCACAGTGGGTCGAGGTACTCACTCTATAGACCAACGTTTCATCGTCGTACCTGACTGGAGTCTGTTGATCAAAAATGTCAAGCCCGAAGATGCAGGTCTTTACGAGTGTCAGGTAACATCTATATATGTATATAATGTGGGGAAAGCACATCCGCTGCCGAAATTGACATCGCAATAATAAAAAGCACATTGTAAATACTCTGAATATATTATCTGCTGACGTATTCCACCTACAAATTCATTCTTATCAACTGAAACATTCACTCGTGCGGAGCCAGAATTCACTCTAAGCCTGAATGAAATTTTAAGTCTTACGATTTCGCAAGTGACACGGTATCTTTACTACCGCTTCGAGTGACTTTACTCATTCCTTTTGAATGAGACTTCACTCGAGGAAATTTAGAAGACACTTGACGACACGTGTGTCAATATACTAGCAACATATACTTTGTACGTTACAGTTTATGTGTATTGCGCCATGTTTTAATAAAACATAGATACAAACGGAGCCAGTGCAGCAGCGATTCATATGGTTGAACACCACCGAGGCGTATTCGATGATACCGGGAGGTCCGGACCTCCACGTGAAACAGGGTTCCAGCTTGCGTCTGGAGTGCCAGCTGATGGCGGCCACCGAATTGCCCAGCTACATATTTTGGTACCGTGAGAACCGTATGATAAACTACGACAACGAACCCGGCGTTAGGGTCGAACCGACGAGAAACGGTTCGATACTCGTCGTGGAGAAGGTAAAGCTCTCGCACGGCGCAAACTACACTTGCTTACCGAGCAACGCCAGACCGACGCACATCATGATACATGTCATCGAAGGTGAGCGATTAGTAGGCGCGCATTTAGCATACAGCTCGTTCATTAACTATTCTCTGTGATTCTGACTCAAACAATTTTACTCGATGCGTATTGCATTAATCGGACGGTATGGATGACAGCAAACGTCATATAACGTCCTTGCTTTCCTCTATTGCCTTTGTTGTTGTTACTTAGTTATTATTTAGCATATTTTGTTATATTAATAATATGAGAGACGGTACATTTATTCAACAATATTTGATATTTTTTGACACCTTTAATTGTGGCTCGCGCAAAAAGATGAAATTGCTTTCTTTACGTGCCGAGCATCCTTAATCATGTGCGTGTTTCGTTAGTTTTCGTTAGTGGCGTGCTTTACACGCAAATGCTTCATTATGACGTCACGTAGAGAATATTCTGTCGTCTTTACGGACCGCCAATCTCATGCCATTCCCGTCCCATCGATCCGAGCTTTCAAACAATCTCCCTCGTCGATCATCGACACTACCGAGCACAAACTCTCCCACCTTACGTGAAGCATTATAAGGAGACGTTTATTTATGCCTCGCATATATGCGTGAAATCTGGATTCGGGTAAGAACAGACGTTATGTCAGATTGTAGGGCGAGCTTTATGGGCCGTAAAATTCGTGAACCGTCCTCAATCTCGGGGGATGACTGTATATAAGGATGTCAGATTGCCCATTTTTTTCTTTTTTTTAGTCAGCAAAGAGGGTCTAAAGCAGAGCCTATTCGGGATTTAAAATATTCAAACCCGGCCTGAATCGACGGCTGACCACTTTTGCAGCCCCTCTAATAATATTCGCAGATAGGGTACATTTCGTTACATACACGTGTACATTCTTTACATGAAAATCCAGTATACATAACGCTATGTGCACATTGTCAATGTAATAATCATGCGAGAAGCTCTGACATGCCGATATCTCATATGCAAAGACTTGTAATATCGCGAGAGAAAATTCACAAGACGTTCGAATTGCTTTTCTTCCTCGGTCGACCTCATCGAAGAATTTCGCCTGTTTCCACAGAGGAGGAAAAACCGGCAGCCATGCACGGAGGCGATCGGCGAAATTCCGAGGCAACATCGCCGAGCAACGACCTGCTGGCCTTTATAGTTCTCTCGTTTGCCTTGGACACCTTGGTAAGCCGCAGCTTCCTGTATCTCATCCGCCACGTCACGTGACTAACATAAACCGCTATTTTCACGAAGCTGAACGTATTATCAAGCACGCGCGAACGAATCTCTCCTCTCTCCCTCAGCCTTCCTCCACCCTCCCTCCCTCCCTCCCTCCTTGGCAGATGTTTAAAAACACCTGAAATTTCTGACCGCTCGAAACGTCCCATTGCACTTTGGTATCGAAAAGTATAAGTCCTCCTTCCCCTTATTCGACACACACATACACCCCTTACTCCTCCCTCTTTTTCTTCTTCTTCTTCTCTTTGTCTTTCTATTTCCCTTTCTTTCTTTACATGAAACTGCTTGAGCCTGACGACGAAATCCAAACGTCGCGAAAGGAGATATGACAGATACCACGCGCGCGGTATCAAAGAAAAATCTATTTGCGAGTAAACTTAAAGCGAGAGATTCAACTGCAGACAGTTTTCCGAGAGTCCGTATCCTCGGGTGGTGAAATCTAAGGAGGACCGCGAAGTTTCACGTAACCATGTAACTTTCGTTTAAAGAAATGTCTTATCCAAGTGACACTGCTTGATAGAAACTCCGCTTGAACTCGTAACGAGTGAATAATATCAGTGGAATGAGATTTGGTCGTCTTTCGACGAGAACGAATTTGTTCGCCAACTTTGGGGACCAAGTTGGCAGTCTTGTGTCGTTGGTCATCATAAACTCTCTTTGAAACAGAAATTTTCTCGCGGAAATCTTCGTCGTCTTCACTCACATTAAAGTGTTCTCAGAAAATAAATTAATTAACCTCTCGAAGTGTAAGTTGTATTTACTTTTTAGCGGAAAATTACCAATATTTTATACAACATATTACTTGAAGATATTTCAATATATCTTTTTCATATTCAGTAGAGAGATAGTAGATAGATGGTGTGCAAGAAACTATAATATTCATGGACGTATTACATGTCGATGAAAGTAATAAAATAGTCTTGTCGCAAACTTTGCAATGCATATACAAACAACAAATCTTTAATTGCTGCGGAATTTAGAATCTTCTCAGAATATTATCTCATCAGAATATTATCAGAAGAATATTACATTCTCCAAATATATCACATTCATACAGATAAATTTGGCACTGAAATCTCGTCTCAGGGTAGACAAGTCTTCATCGCTAGGATCAGGTATTATTTGCTTCTTATAAGTTTGACAAGTTTCTAGCAAGTAGTCTGATGCAAATGGGATATTGAGCTCTGTAAACAAAAGTTGCATGTAGTTTCGCGTCCTCCCATGGTTGTCTTACTCCGAAGTTGGTAGTAATAAACTCAATCTAGAACTGTTAGAAACACCACATGAAATAAAACGAGAAAAATCGCCTTATTTACAAAGTTTAAGTGTCTCGGGTGACAAAAGGGCTTTCAAAAATCTATCAAAAAATGCACGTAAAGAAATTCCCAAAAACATCACGATCGAGATAATGGCCATAAGTAAAACAACAATTTCCAATGTAAATCGACTAGAAGAAAAAGGAATTTTATTGTCAATAAAGTTCCTAAACTGCCAAAACTTATGTATGCATGTTGATATTTGTATTTATATACCGCGCGTTCAAAATTATCGTTACTTCAAATTATTTTGCCCTTTGCGAAAAGAGTCAACGCATTATGATTTTTATTATTATTTTACAATTAATCGAAATTTTTAACTTTCAATCATCCATAGATCGAAGTAACAATCTAAAAGATAACTCGAGCTTATAGTATAATAATAGTGCATCCATGATATAAATGGACAAAAGTTGCAGGTGGTTCTTATTTTTTTGCATTAATATTCGCAATATTCGTAAAAATAATGCCTCACTGAAATTACGAAACGTGCAAATCGTGAATCGGCGTAGCATGTCTCAAAAAAATTCGTGTTATTAAAAAATACTTGAATACTCACACAGCTCAATATTTATTCTAATCAATAGATATTTTAAGGAAACGTTGTTGAAAACAACAAAAAATCTCTGAAACACATGTTTGAATACACCGATTTCTTGTCTAAACCTTATATTAATAAATTAATAAATTCACGAATGAACTTTACACGATAGTAATGAAAATAACATTTTATGAAAAAGAAATTTGTCAGACAAATTATTCAAGTTAATAGGTAATTATGCATACACAAAGAGAGTTAAATATATATAATTATTATTGTAATTAAACTTTAGTATAACCAGATGTATGTGTGCGCGTGTGTGTGTATGTGTATGTGTGTATATTTCTACATCAATGCTGACAAATATAGAAAGTTGGAAAAAACTGAGAATAAACTTCAAAGAGCTGTACCGCTCATCAACATCATAGATCCATAGAAATGAGACCGATTCTTTTTTCAGCACTTTATATACATGTATCTGTTCTGAAAAATAATTTCCAACGACTTTGTTAGCTCATTGTATGTATTACGTTAGAATACGTATATGTGCATTCAATCAAGATGTATGGCCCGATCAAATGTCGCATAGAAATATAAGGACTTGTGGTGTTACTACTTTTAATACTTACGATTTTGTTCATGCGAGTAGCAAACGAGATATAACATACAATCTATATATCTCCTTGGACACATACGTAATAAATAGGATACCAGCCACTTATATTACACGTATACAAGTCTTAATTCCTTAAATTTTCTAAATAAATTATCATCAAAGTTTCATGAATTATTGATGATATAATTTTAAAAGTCAAATAAAATCAGTCAAAAAAAACTTACATTAAATATCATGACAATAGGTAAGGAGAAGATAATAAGTGGTAACAATAGATAAGGAGAAGAAATCATCGCGAGAGCTGTATTACAACGAAGACGGGTGAGTAAAAAGATATTAGTAAAAATATTAAATAAGATTGATCGTTTGAGAAATACCATATGTGTTTCTCGTTGTTGGCAATGCTTCATTTTTCGCCCGTTATTTAAAATTAATTAATGTACATGGGCAAAAAGACAGAGGCAAGGAAGTAATTGGGGAATATATAGGTAGCGTGTCGAGAGAAAGAACGGCAATCGCTCAAACAATCCAACGTTCAAACGAAGTAATCCAACTTAAAACTCTTCGGAAAGCGTTCGCGTAATTTATCGATAAATTCCGACGAACGCCTACGAGCAAAAGCCGATTGTAGACTGATGATTGAAAGGAAAACTCCAAGTTTTTCTCCCATTTGTCAAGTAGTAAAGCTGACTGTTTGAACAAAATGTCTTGAACAGAGACAAAACATCACGTTAGAAAACGTCTACGCATCATATTCTCGCACACACGAAGCAAAGTTGCAAGTTACGCAAAGAAACGGAGAAATTAGTGAAATTGAAATTGCTCCCCAATTGGAGAAGAAATTATCTTAAACTGTTAGTCAAATTAAAACACATTGCAGTCCGTCTCGTTGCGATGTATTTCGGTTAAACGTTATATTTAGGACAGCCAGTGACAAACTTTAATACGCCAACTTATAATTATCATAACACGCAATTGCATTGTTAAAGACTCGTTTGTTACGAATTTAGCGGTGTTCGATTGGTGCCGGAGTTTCCAGTTAATTTCGCAAATTAACGTTGCATCACGCGTCGATGAAGCGTTAGCCATAATTACGGTCATACGACAATTACAATTATATATTTCCGGTGGTGCGGAGTTCGTTAACGCGAGAGGCGCTAAATATGTCAAGCTGTCACAGTTGTTTTAATATCGTGAAATATCAACGTTGTATTTCAGAGTGCACGAGTTGACGAGCCCGCTGGCCATCGCATGTCACAGCTTTTACAAACCGAGAGGGGGGGGGGGAGAGAGAGAGAGAGAGAGATGTCTCACCCTCTCGGAGCGGAATGTAATAACCCTCCTCTCGCCTCGAGCATAGCGCTTATGTATATAGTGCCGTACAATGAAGACGCTCGCATGATTAAACGCTCTCAATTGCGCATCGCGGAGCGTACAGCGTTTAATAATTATCGATCGGAATCAGCGCAAGACGCGATTCTGACGCCGACAACGCCGACAAAATCGAGGCGTGTGCTGTGTCATCGGGGATTACAAGATTTCCATCCGTGCAATTTCATTTGTTATTCGACGATAAACAGACGTGTGCATTGCGACGGAAATGAGCGAGAACGTAAAATCGTCCTCGCTCATTGCTTCTCGCGTAATTACTTGGGCGAGGGGCGAACGTAATTCTCAACGGTTCGGCAAAGAGCTATTGTTGCGGAAAGTACTAATCACCGACTTAGTCAACCGATAAGTCTCGATCGCGCTGTGCTCGAGTCGTCGAGCACAGCTTTCATAAGATTGAATTCTCGTTTAAATGGTTTGTCCCCGGGCGAGTAACTCGAGCATGGTGTTTGTCTTTCGGACCTCGTTGATAGCAGTCCTCTATTCTTGTCTGTTGTACGGTTATTTCTTTATTTAAATTAATGACTTTAATTGCCTCGAAATTTGATTGAGAAACAGTGACGCTATGACAAGTAAAAATCGTGTGATCAATCCCCCCTTCCTCCCTCCTCTCTCTCTCTCTCTCTCTCTCTCTCTCTCT